AAAGACCCAACATCTGTTGCACGTTGGCAACTACGTATACCGCAGCCCAAGGAAGGATGATCTTCACGGGATGTGGCTCAGCGAATTAAGAGGCAGCGACTATGCTCACTGGGCCATGTGGACCACATGGATGAAAGAGAACATTTCAACTCTAAAAATTTTCGATACAGTATCCGTTGGTTGAAAGCAAAGTAGGAGAAAGACCTCCACTCCGTTGCAAAGTTCAGGTGGAGAGCGACCGGGCTTCACTTTGTATCTTCAATTGACGCCTGCGCAAAAGAGAGAAAGGAAAGAGAAAGGAAATTTATGTAGAATTTCAAACTCATGCGACTCTAAATAAAAAATAGAGATAAATGGCGGTTTCCCGCCCATTAATGGCGATTTTTTGTCGAAGAAATTCTTCGCCGAAAGAGAAAAATGCCAATCGTATCGTCAAATGTTAAAAACAGTCCCGACAATTGAGGTGAGCCAACTTCCAGTATGAGCTAAGAGCTTTAATAATACCAAGTGTTTTCCCAAAATCTAAGATAAGTGAGGGGCTTTTTTGGCAATAAATATAGCAGACTTTCTATGTGTTCCATGCCCATAAAAAAGTACACTCCTCGAAAGCTTGCAACCTTCCCCACAGCGGTATGACTCACAAAGGCCCACAATTCATTGATTTATTTACTGCTGATAAGCCAAAGTCACGGAGTGTGCGTATGGTAATTAGGGGCTTTTCTCATTTGATGTTGGGGAAAACAAATATTTCAGCAGTATTTTTTTGGAGGTTTCCAGAACAGAAGAAGCCACCGAATTCTTTTCTGTACATACCAAAAATGCTCTTAATGAACTTAATATGGAAAGGAAGAGCAATGCAAATTTGCCTATGGAAAATAAACAAACAAGAAATGGTTCCTTTCATATCTGTGTATGTATGTGTGTACTTTGCTTTCTACTGATAAGCTGACTAAAATAAATATAGAGGAATAACAGTTAACCAAGTGGTAATTCCAGATAAGCGTAAAGGGAAGTGAAGAGAAAGATTGAAAACAAAAGTATTTTTACTTTTAAAATTTATGAAATATTTACGTAGATAAATATTTTATGGATTAATTGAGCGGAATAGCGGTGTGGAAAACCACCGAAAGACGTTGGTAATTTCGGGATTTCATTAGATTTCTTGTGCATGAAATAATCATAATTTCTTGGTTGTACACAGATATTAATGAGAGCTGCCGCAGATTTTGTACTAATATAGCGCAAAAGAGAAGCCACAGAGATTGCTTAGTTATACACAATCAGGTATCTCTCCTTCCGTCTCGTTATTACACATTTAGCCCATAGATCATGCATCTAGTTAGCTATCAGACGGTATACATTAAGACTAAAAAGTTTCTGAAAATTGTCTTTTAAACTGTTCGCGCTGAATATATTTCTGCACTTTTTTGTTAAGTTGGCAGCACTGCCCTTAATTATTATGCCAAAAATGAGCGCGATCTGTGAACCAGTTGTTTGCATCAACTGTTGAAATCAGTTAACCTCAGTTCCCACTGCGAATTTTCTTTTACGGCCTGAATCGAGTCGAAACAGTTTCCACGGCATGGTAACTTGAGTTTTGGAAACAAAAAAGTCACCCCATGAGACATGAGACAAATGCGGTCAATACGGTGGTGGATCAAAGGAATTGAACTAGTTTTTGGTCCTAAAATCGTTCACAACTACAGCTCGGTGCGATAGCGCATTATCGTCATGAAAGTTTCCGGAAATCGTTGGCCCAAAATTCCGGCCGTTTACGACGGATGCTGTCGCGCAAACGCCTCTAAACGCTCAAACAATACTTTTTTATCGAAAAAAAAAAACAATTTCCGGAAACTTTCTGGTCTAAACTTACTGGACATGGTTCTCCATATGGAGTGTATACTCTTTTTTCGATTCATATATATATGTTTATCTCGATTTATAGCCGTTGAAGCCCTATATGACCATGACCGGGATGCTCATCCTACCATACCTAGTAGCTACTTAAGCTCTACCGAAAAATGGCTCACATAAAGTCATGAAACATGGCCTCTATTTTTGACCTATTTGTGAACTTTGAGTATCTAGCGTTCGATTCCACCCGAACTTTGTTTTCCTTACTTATTCCTTATTATTTCCCTTTTCATTTTGATTTTCAGTCGATTATCGCCAGTTATAATTGAATTCGCCAACACCTGCAGTTGTTCTTCGCTCTGACACTAGGGTTACCATATGGTTATGGTTGGTAAAAAAAAAAAACAACAAAAGCAAAGGAGACAGACACAAATCAAGGTTGGCCTATCAATGCGATTTCCTGCAACCACCTTAACAAACACACAACACAACACGACCCGATACATTCCTGAGTGCACATATGTACATATCTAGCCATAATCGATGACACCTGTGCTGAAAATATTCTGTCGGCATCGCCGTTGGCGTCGTCGTCATCGTCATTGTCGCGCTCACAATGTATTGTATTTTAACTTGAAGCACTCGCTGCTATTTCATTGTGACTTCTTATCTATTTTATTACACTTTTTGCCATAATAATCTCTATAGAGATTGTTGTTGTAAATACATATGTACATGTTTACACATAAGTTAATTGAAATTGTATTTTTTCTTGTTTTTATAATTTTTTTTTAACAATATTTGCACAGTTTTGATTTTCATAAATACATACATACATTTATTTATAATCATCATTCCTTCTATTATGCAATCCACCGTCAATTAGTGAGTAATATTAATATGTGCATATGTATGTATATACAATACTTTGCGTATTGTGTTACATACGAAAAAAGGGGGCGCCCAGCGCTAAAACCATCAACCACAAACTGCCAATAATAACAACAAAAGCAAAGTGCCAAGTGTTTGTGACAAATTAGTGGACCTATGTTAGTTTAGTTGAAGAGCGAAACCAAAACCAACTTAAAAAAAATTGAAAAAAAATAATAATAAAATAAAAAATAATAAATGCGTGGAAAAAGAGATAAAATAAAATATAATTTAGTGGTAATGTATTTTCCATTGCTGTTTTCCAGAGTCTTAAATTTATATTTGGTAACATTTTAAGCAATTACTCATACATAGATTTTTTTTAAAGAATGATAAAATTCTTTTGACACCAAATTAAAACTGTGGAGGGCTTTAATGGGTCGCATGGGTTTATTCAATGGCTAAAGAGTATATTTTCAAAACTAAAATATTTTATGCAAATTATTTACTGTCAAATGAAAATATCCCAAACTCTGCCTGGCATTTTTAGGGAGCCCCCGGAAAGAAGTTGCGTTGTCAATGAATATGTGCAGCGGGTTCGCCTAAACAGGTTCGTTAATTGACACAACAGTTCGCGTACGTGCTCGTCCAGAGAGCGTTCAAGGGAAAATATTATTGCTCAGGTTTTGTTTCGTATCGGCGCCATGATATCGAAACAAAATGTAATTGTTAATATTGAAATCGTACAAAGTCATCGTTAAAAGCAGTTTTTAGGTGACTGCCAGCTATGATATTAACAGCTCAATTCTAACATTTAACAGTTCAAAGGCTTGACATAAACGACAGCATTTCGCTTCGGATAAAAACATTGTATTTTCCAATATTTCAACCGAATCGATTATAGTTTTTTGATTCATGTGAAATTTATCTCAAAAGAATTGCAGATCAATCTTAAGCAAGATGGATGTGAAAGATCCTTGCTAACAACAAATGACATACGTGTATACTCCACGCTCTCATGATTTCAAAATGCAGTCGCTAAGTTTATAGACTCAGAAATTCTTCACAGCATTATCACTCCAGCTCTTACATTCATTTCAAGTGGAATGGACTTTCAAGTCAAAGACCATTCTTTATGAGTGTTTTTCTGCAAAAGAAAGTAAATATTGTTGTAGTCCACTGAACCGTAAACTCAAAGTCAAATGAATTATTTAATTAATTTTTCTTTTTTTATTTTGCACGCTAAACAAAGAGAAAAACCAAACCGTCCAAGCATTGAGGAAAAATATTGCAAAAACCATAAGTCACCGCTGGACAGTTAGTCCGACAAACAGTTATTGGTGTCATGGTTACTTAGCAGGCAGCTGTCAAATTGCCGTTAATGTTACTTTACGTTTGTTTTACCCGTTTTTGTGGCGTCCAAATGAGAAATAAAAAATAAAAGAAAAAAATAAAAAAACGCTGGCTTCTGATAGTTAAATTCATCATATTTCTTACATATATTTTCTGTATTGACTTTATTACTTTGATTGCTCTGTTGCATGCTTTGTACTTTTAGTGAGTCATTATGACACTCACACACACACACAACGGCATGGTGTTTTTCTCCACTTTAATTATATTATTATTTTAGCGTTAAATATGAGCAGTTTCTCAGCTGAAAGAATTTCCGATAATTATTTTCGCGTGCAATCACCAATTTCTCTAAATTTTTTTACTTGACAACAATGATGATTTAAGCGAAATACAAAATACAGATTTCAAGCGCAGTTGGTAGTGCTGATAATGATCGTATAGCTCGCCTAAGCTGGTGACCGATATTCGACACAAGCGCCACCTTTCGGGTTTTCATATTGCTGATAGTGTTTCATCCCTTCAAAACCGATTCATAATTACATAACTTTTGGATGGATCGATCCAATTTACTCCTTATGCGATGTTTAGGTGTCTTTCCGACTTAGCCCATTGATCCGGATACTGTCTTGTCGCCATTAAGCAAGGATGCTGAAATGTGATCGGTCACAACTTGGTTCCATGATCCTCTTGAATTGATCTCCAGGCTTCTAGGGTGTAGAGGTGTGCATCTACAATATTCGCGCTATCATGGTTCGATATATAGTACTGTTCAGATCATTTTTAGAGTATCGTTGTTTGGTTTGTTGTTTTGATATCTTTTTGAGAATCTCCCAATCACTCTTAACTGGAGTTTAAAGATTTTTCCAAGTATTTGTATTTTCTCATTTTAACCTATTAATTTTTCTACATTTCTTTTGTAGAGATTTCTTGCCACGTGGTTCTGGCATTGTAACGCGTCGTCCTTTGATTTTGCAATTGATTAACGGTGTTACCGGTGAGTTACCACAACCATTTCTATTAACAATTTGATTCTTAAATCTTATACTCCTCCTTCCACCAGAACATGGCGAGTTTCTGCATTGCAAAGGTAAAAAATTCACCAGTTTCGAGGAGATCCGCAAAGAGATCGAAGATGAGACGGATCGTGTGACGGGCAGTAACAAGGGTATTTCGAATATTCCAATCAATTTGCGTGTCTACTCACCACACGTACTCAACTTGACACTGATCGATTTGCCTGGTCTCACCAAGGTCGCTATCGGCGATCAACCGGTTGATATTGAACAACAAATCAAAGGAATGATCTTTCAGTTTATACGTAAAGAGACCTGTCTCATTTTGGCCGTAACACCAGCCAATACAGATTTAGCCAATTCCGACGCATTGAAATTGGCCAAAGAGGTGGATCCGCAGGGTGTACGCACGATTGGTGTCATCACCAAGCTTGATCTTATGGACGAAGGCACAGATGCACGTGATATTTTAGAGAATAAATTGCTACCGCTACGACGCGGCTACATTGGTGTGGTCAATCGCTCACAAAAGGATATTGAGGGACGCAAGGACATCCATCAAGCATTGGCTGCTGAACGCAAGTTCTTCCTTAGTCATCCATCTTATCGACATATGGCCGATCGTCTGGGTACACCCTATTTACAGCGAGTACTCAACCAACAGTTGACCAATCATATTCGTGATACGCTTCCCGGCTTGCGTGATAAATTGCAAAAGCAAATGTTGACACTGGAAAAGGATGTCGAGCAATTTAAGCACTTCAGACCCGATGATCCCAGCATTAAGACAAAGGCGATGTTACAGTAAGTATTTTCCTTTCAGAAATGAGTGGAGTGAGGAAGGGGTTTTTGAAAACATATTTTTTTCTTCCTACAACAGAATGATCCAACAGTTACAGTCAGATTTTGAGCGCACCATTGAAGGTTCCGGTTCAGCTTTGGTTAATACAAATGAGCTATCAGGTGGTGCTAAAATCAATAGGATATTCCATGAGCGGTAAGTGCATTTGGAACTATATGGAAGCTATCTTAACTCACTTAACTTTTTCTGTTCCTTTCATTATTTAGCTTACGTTTCGAAATAGTTAAAATGGCTTGTGATGAAAAGGAATTACGTCGCGAAATCTCTTTCGCTATTCGTAATATTCATGGTATTCGTGTGGGCCTCTTCACACCCGACATGGCCTTCGAGGCGATTGTTAAGCGTCAAATTGCACAATTAAAGGAACCGGTCATCAAGTGTGTCGATCTAGTCGTACAGGAGTTGTCCGTTGTGGTGCGCATGTGCACAGATAAGGCAAGATGTATTCAATATTTTTCACTATCGCTTCTCCTAGATACATTCTCTTGAAATTTATTAACCTTTATATACTGCAACTCCTTGCAGATGTCGCGCTATCCACGCTTGCGCGAGGAAACCGAACGCATCATCACCACACACATACGCCAGCGTGAACAGTACTGTAAGGAACAAATCCTGTTACTCATCGATTTTGAATTGGCTTACATGAATACCAATCACGAGGATTTCATTGGCTTTGCAAAGTGGGTAGTAGTGTTTTGGGCGAAGAAATAATTGAAACGACAAAATTTATATATATTTTCTTTATTTCGCTTTCCAGTGCTCAGAATAAATCTGAAAATGCCAATAAGACTGGTACGCGCCAGCTTGGCAATCAGGTTATACGCAAAGGTTACATGGTTATACAGAATTTGGGTATTATGAAAGGTGCGTTGCAAATTTTATTAAAATTTTATTTATTTTGTTGTAAATAGTTTAAGCGTAGTTTAGTTTTTACATTACTTAAAAAGTCATGAGCGTCTGTTATTGGTATTTTTTTTACGGTTTTGTATATATTTACACATTATATAAGTCCATTGTGTTCAGTACGGTTTGGGTGCTTCTACCCCATTTTCTACATTCAATTTGTGTTCTAATATTTGCCTTCTATTGTGCTGTGCTTTTATTTTTATTTGTTTAGTCAGCTCTACAATGAGTAGCTTATCGAAATACCAGATTTTCAAATTGAATTACTAATCTCGAAACTAAACTCTCTAGCCACCCTGCAAATATTTTTTTGTTGGACAATTTAGTTTTATAAAAAATGAAATGTTTAATTAATCATTGTATTTAAAGTATTTGTTATGTCTTTGTGCTAAAAACTTTTACTGAAAATTTACCATAAAAATATTTAGTACATTTTTTTTTTCTAAAGATTTATACTTTTTTGTTTATTAAAATACATAATTAATGAAGTTAGATTTTGTTACATTTTTGTGTAAAATAATTAAAAACAGTTTATTATTAATTTTTAGTACTAAAGTATTTGATAAGTAATATCAGCAAAACAGCAGCAAAAATTTCTAATTTTCTTTCTATTTTCAATTATTGTTATAATAATAAATTACTCTTAATTACATTGCTAAGAAATAAATATGTTTTTGATTAAAAAAATATTTGACAATAACTGATGCAGCTTTAAAAATTTAGTACAGCTTTTCGTTGTAATTTAGTACTAAATTTCCAAAATTAGTGCTAAAATTGTTGTACACTTTATTCGGCTTTATAAGCAGTTATCAATTACAAAAAGTATAGAACAAAGTACTAAAACCTTTTTAATTTTAGATTTTCATGTATTTATTATTTTTACAATTGTTTGTAGTGCTTTTAAAAAGATCTTGCAGGTTAACTTCTTGACATTTTTTAATACAATTTTATTTCTTTCTTCCAAGGTATTTTTTCCAGTTTTTTTTATTATAAGAATTTAGAAAAATTTCTTTTTATCTGTTTTGGAGTACCTGTTCTCTGTCCTAAGATTTTGTGTGTGTCCTTTTAAATTAAATTAAATCGAATTGCATGTTTTAAAATTATTTAGTTTTGTTGTTTTTCTATGTACATTTTATTTTTCTGTCTCTCCTACTCCTATGTTTATGATTTTCTTTATTCATTTTTGTAGCATTGAAGCGATTTTTGCCACAATTTCTTGGTTTGTATGATGCTCGATATTTTGTTTAATTAAAAAACAACAATTTCTTGGGAATTTAATTTTAATATTTGCATTTTTGTTGCAAACCCTTCTCCCTAACTTCCAATTTATCCATAATAAATGTTTGTTAAATAGGTAAAATAGTAACATGAATGTGTGTGTAGTAATATTAAGTGATATTTTCTTGTGTCTTCACATTTATTGATTTCTGAGTTTGTAAATCAATTCTTTGAAAGATAAACAAAATACTTTGTGATGTAAATACATTTTTATTGATAAACGTGAAAACACATTTGCATACCTGATTGTAAGTTATATGATTTAGGTTGCGCATGCGTATAACTTGTATTTTGGAATTAGTTTTTTTTTTCATTTTAAGTATAGCGTTGTAAATATGTATATTGAATATTGTTTATTTGTAAATAGTGTATAATAAAATCCGTTGAAACTCAAGTTAAGTTAGTTTTTTAGTACAACTTAGGCCTCGTTATTGTATATTAATATGTATATAGTTAAGTATTTTACTCTGTACTTGTATAAAGTATGATATTCATTTTACATGCTCATGAATTTTTAATTAAAAAATTAAATATAATTAAAATGTTAATAATCATGTTTTCGAAATTTTCTTCTTTTTTGTCTCATTCCATGCACGTCTTATTGCTATATCTGCATTTATCCATCGTACAATTGCTGTTTATTCGCCAATACTTCTTACGCTTCACATCTTTATATATAACAAAAACAAAAAACAACCAAATTTCCTATTAAAAATAATATATAAAAAATTATCAACTGTTATTTAACTGTCAACTGTACAACAACAACGTAATTGCAACAACTCTAACTGATTGCACGGCAAACCATAAACCCCACCACCACTTTTATTCAACCTTTGGGCAAATGGGAATTGACACTCTCAAATAAACACAAATAAAATCCAACACTTGCCACATTCCGACTACCACCACCACCACCACAACCGCCACATTCTTACCAACACTCTATATAATCCTGCAAAAATAACTTTTGTTCCCATACAACAACAACAACACGAACATATTCAAATTACAGGCGGTTCACGTCCCTACTGGTTTGTGCTGACATCGGAGAGTATTTCCTGGTACAAGGATGAGGATGAGAAGGAGAAGAAGTTCATGTTGCCGTTGGATGGTTTGAAATTACGCGATATTGAACAGGGCTTCATGTCAATGTCAAGACGTGTCACATTTGCTTTATTCAGTCCAGATGGACGTAATGTTTATAAGGTTAGTAATTTTTGTAAAGTACAAAAAAATTTTACAACGTTTAACCACCACGACCACCACCAACAAAAAAGACTACGTACAAAATCTATCAAAAAAAAAAAAATGAAACAACTCAGCAACAGCATCAACAAACAGATACAGAAAATGCAACAAAAACAGCTTTTGTAGAAAATACATTTCCAAACCTGGAAAAAAATAGAAAATCGCGTTTAGTTCAATGTCGCATGGTGTTTTTCTAAATTTTATTTTCAATATTTTGATTTCGGAAAAGTTTAAAATCTTGCTTCACGGTTTATTTATGAAAATTTGCGCTTCTTATACAAAATGGAGTTGTGTTACACAACACTGGGTTTAAAAAATAAGAGAAATGAAATGAGAGCGGTGCAATAATTAATATTAAATTAATAACAATTATAAATTTAAATAAAGTTTTTTTACTACAAAAGTAATATGAAAATAGTAAAATATGAATTTTAAAGTGAAAATATAAACATATTTTTAAGAGAGTAAAAGATGAAATGCTAAAAGAAAAATAATAAAACATAAAAGAAAAGTTAAAAATAAATTATTTATCAAATTTTATAAATGAAAATAAAATGATTAAATAATTACAATTAGCAATAACAAACATATATATAATTGAAAACCAAAATAAAGAATGAATAAACCAAATAAAATATTAAAAAATTAAAACTAAACTTTGATAAATTTTATAAAAGACAAAAATTAAATATATAAAAATACTATATAAATACGGTTACCGATAAAAAAAAACATTAGTATAATTAATGACTAAAAAATCGAATCAAAATTATAATCGATAAAAAATAAATGAACAAATAAATTTAATTTAAATTGTAAGATTCTTAAAAAAACGCAATTGGAACTTTGGTAAATTATAACGAAATTTCCAATTTAATTATTTTTATTTATTTTTTTCGACCAGTGTTGTGTAACGCATTACGAAAAAATCTCTAATTATTCCCCAGACTATTTTATATTTATGAATTTTTTAAACAATTGAGTTGCATACAATTAAACAAGTACAAAGGTACTATTTTTCTTTCTTTTACCCGCCCTCCTATTGTGTACTCAACATTTCTATACTGTATGTAAGCCTTTCTCTCACACACACTTCACAAGTTTTGTGCCCAATTTTAATTAAATTTGATTTTCGTTGAATTTCTTTGGTACATGCATACAAATGAGTATGTATTTAAGTGCGTTTACACTTCGCCTCGCCTCGCCTCGCCGAAAAAAACGCGTAATAGAAAGCATATGAAATATATGTATGTATGTGCAAATTATTTGCAACCCTGTGTGGCAACAAATTGTTTGGTAATGGCGTTAAATTTTTTTGTATTTGATAAAAATTACTATGTTTTTATCAACATTTTTCCCAGCAACAAATTTTCACTTGAAATATGCCCAGACAGACATGGCATGATTTTCAAAACAATTAAACAAAGTAAAAAACTGTGCCATTGTCAAACCGCCGCATATTTGGAATGAAAAATTGTTTTAATAAAACGTATTTTTTATATTAAATCCTCGCATTAGCTCTCTTCGTAAGTAGCCACTTGCTAAACGTTTTTTCCATTTCTTTTATTTATTTCTTTCAACACCAATTTTAAATATATATATATATAAAGTTTTTTTTTGTTTGAACACTCACCGACTCCTGACTTCCTGTGAACAAAATTTCTTCTATATTTTGATATTAGTTTTCTTTTCACGCTCCTATTGTTTATTTATTTATTTATTGCCTATTATTTGCTTTTCATGTACTTTTGTTATTATATACTTATTACAAGTACTAATAGTTTCTTATTTACAATATATTTTTTGTTTCCCAAAAATGGTTTAGGATTACAAACAACTCGAGTTGTCTTGTGAGACCGTTGAGGATGTGGAATCGTGGAAGGCTTCATTCCTACGCGCTGGCGTATATCCTGAGAAGCAGGTGGCACAGGAGAATGGCGATGAGGTGAGTTCGTTTTGACAATTGAAATTTAAATGTGGAAATGTTTCTGTGTAATCTCATGTAGGTATGAAAAGTACAAACAGTGATAGTATATACATACATACATACATGCATATATAGTATGTATGTGCTATATGAGTATACCATATTATGTGCACATATAAATATTATTAGTTTAAAATTGTATGTATATTTCGTAAGCATTTCAGCTGGCTAGGAAATTTTCTATATGGTTTTTAAATTTTTCTCTCCTGATCTGTACAAGTGCATTTTTTTTGCGAAACCTGTCGCATTAAATGACGATTTTTTTTAACCAATATTTTGTGTATATTGAATATGTATTAATTATTAATCATTATATTATCATTATGTAAATTAATATAACCTCAAAAATATATAAACATATTGAAAATTCAGCTAGCCAGCAGCCTTCAATGTCGCTTATTAAATATCAAGTAAAATCAAAACGTATTCGTTGTACGCTCATTTCCAATTATTTATTATTTATTTACATTTTTTATTTTTATTTCAATTGCCTTTGCAATTATTCCAAATCATTCCAATCTCTTTTTAAAATCCATTGAAATTAATTACACTTTTGTTATTTAACTTTCTTCCGATGACCTTTAAGCAAACTCCTTCCTCATTGTTTTCCTTCAATTCACCTTCCTTCTTTGCATTGATTTTGAAATGTTTGTAAATAATTTGAAAAACTAACCCGCACACACGCAGTTTTACACATTAAGCCACGTAAATAAAATAAATAATTTATCGAGAATCATTTAGGATAAAATTTAAATAAGAAATACAAAAAATCGAGACTATCTTTGTAACGCAAATTTTCGTATATTTCTCTGTTTTATCGAATTTTACTCCCAATAGCAGGAAGGCCAAGAGGTTTGTTTGACTTATTTCATAAATATTTACACATTTATTTTGCATATTATTGGTACTTCGAAAACTTGCTCAAAATGTATGGAAGTAATGGTTCTTAACAACAAAAAGAGCAAAGAAAAAAATACATATTTCTAAAAAAAATTATAGAGAAATTAACAAAATTATTTTACTTTCATTAAGTTGGTGAATTGGCGGTTCATATGTATATTATTTATTATTTCTTTCATATAATTTATGGCTTATTATGTTATATTTTAGACATTTTTAGTTTATTTATTTATATATATTTTTTTAATTTTTAACTTATTTGTTCGTTTTTATTAAATTTTTTTAATTTTTTCAAAATTTTTTCTTTTGCTTTCTGCTGCATATATTCAGTTACAAAAAAAATCTATTTTAGTTCAATATATTAATTAATTAACTCCATTTAATATGAAAGTACTCCACTTTTAATTCGTCTTTTTTCTTATATTTTTCCAAATCTATTTTTATACGAAACATAAAAAAATATTTTAAAATAAATAAAAAACGATCTACTACAGAAAACGAAAAACGTATGTTTGCATTATCAATCAAACAATTTTTTGTTACAAATTTTTCTTTAACCGTTAAATATTTGTGTTCCTTTGTTTCCTTTATGTTATGAGTATGTGTGGAGCAAATGCAAAATTTCCAATTAATTTCGCTGGTTTTATTTCTTTCTAAAACTGTTTGTTTACGTATTTTGTTAATGCATTAGTTAATATTAAATAATTGATTTTTAATATTTTTTAATTGAAGTTTATAGAACTACGAATAACAGAAATGCAGAAAAAAGTTTTCAATATCACTTAAAATGAAAAAAAATCTTTATTAATCTACGTTATTCTTTTAGACAATTTTTTTGATTTCTGTTATTTGCACTCCATAAGTACGCAAAGATATTTTGGTAATTGAAAATATTTATGCGTTACCCGATTTTATGCGAATATTTTAAATTATATCTCGTTTATTGTTATACGTTTAACGTTACGTTATTTGTTTCGTTTCGTTTCGTTTCGTTTTTATCTGGCGTTTAATAAAATCTCAGTGGTTTCTTACTTACAGCTTCTTATTACGTTTTTATTTTCAATCATAACCTCACTATTAATAAACAACACCTCAAATATAAAACTAAACTGATTTTTGCTGCTTAAAAATAAAAAAATTATAATAAAATATATATTTTTAATACAATAATTTAACGGAAATTATATTCATTGCTATTGGCATCATTTTGGGATCGATAAACTAAGCTAAAATATGGCATCACTTCATGTTGAATTTTTGTTTTAAGTTAAAAGTGGTAATTCGTTTTTTGAAAATCCGCCTATGATTTGAGTGATGTTTTAAAACATTGATTTGTATTCGTATTTTGTATTTGTATTTTTTCGTTTTCATTTTATTTATGGAAACACGCACAGAATGCTAATAACTTTTTTATGTACAAGTATAAAGTTTATAAATAAAAATTTAAAGCATTTAATACTCATAAATTTTGGAAATTTGGCGTTTTTGCATTTAAATATTATTAAAAATTAATTTTGTTGCATTAAAGTTGCTTGACATTGGAATTTAACATTTTGCTGAAAGTCACTGCATAACGGGAAATTTCAATAAATCGATGGTTTCTGTTTTGTGTTGTAAGATATTTGTAAATTTTCTTCGATGGTGGGATCGTTAATAGAATTATTCAATAATAACTGCTTTAATGATAGTTAAAAAAAGTCCATTTTACTACATATGTGCTAATTACACATATCGAACATTGATATCATCGAAAATCGATTGAAATACGATATGTAAAATTATATATTAATAATTCATATAATCGATGGTTGATGGTTTTTTTAACGAAATTAAATTCGATTCATCGTCTATTTAGATAGTGATTAGTCGATCCGATTTTGCAATAAAATCAATTATCAGTAAATAAAATCGATCAAATTAGTTTGAAAATAATCGATTGTTGTTTTATTATTATTACTCAGTGATTGTATAATTTGATAAAATTTATTAAGGCATAGTTAAAACAATCGATTACTAAATAATCGATTTTTTCAAATGTCGTGGATTTGTTGAAATAGTAATTATAAGTTTTCTTAATGCGTATTTATATAGTTAATCGACGAAATTTATCGATACTAAAATAGGTCTTCTATTTATTAATGGATTTTTTGTTGCGCTTGATGATGAGACTTTGATAAATCGATTGGTTAGATTTACAGTGAAATTAATAAATTTATAACAAATACTGAAATGATGCTTAAAAGCCGATATAATCGATTGGTTATAGTTTTAGAGTAAAATAGACAAATTTAGAATAAATAAAATCGTTTTAATAATTTTAAATTCTATCGGTCGATAATTTATTTCGAATATTTAAAACGGATAATAATAATTACTTCAGTTAATTTTCACTAAAACCGATTGAATAATTGAAGTTGGAAATAAAGTAAAGTTATCATTGCTAATTTGTTAGTCAATTACTCTGGTGGTGCGGTAAAAAGTTTATTCAGATAATCGAATTAATTCATGCATATTTACTAAGTTGAGTTGCATTTTTCTTACGCTTTATGTGGAAATTAAATATTCAACAATTTTTATAATAATAATAATTTATGATATTTTTACTATTGCGAATATACTGTTATTGAATTTAGCTAAAAACGCTCTGAGATTTTATTCGACTGCTGGCAATATTTATTTCTATTATTAAACGTTCTTGATATTTATTACCAAATACAAACACAAATTTAAATGCTGTTTTCTTTTTATCTACATACAATATATATATATTTTGTGAATTATTTTTTTTCCAACTCTACTAACACATTGAATGAGAACTCTCTAATGGAAATTTGTTGTAATGGGATTACTTACGCTATTATATTAAATTTATTATTTTTTATTGATTTGAGAAAAAGAAAAGTTGTACATATCCATATTTTTTCTTTTTTCTTTCCCTTCTCCTTTATACATACATACAAATATATATCTTTGAATTAATTAAATGATTATTAAAAAAAAATATTACACAAATGAATTTTACAACAAAAATTCAAAAATAAATAAAAAATTACGTATGTATAAATGCTATCGCTGCTGCCGTTTGCTACTCCTTCCGCTGCTGCTTCACAACATCTATACACATCAAACTGCCACAAACACATAAATATTTTTATATAAATCTTACAACAATTTATTGCAAATCACCAAAAAAAAACACAAATCACCAACACCAAAATACCATTTGTTAACCTTCCAATTTGAACGCCGTTAACAACAACAACAGTCTGCCAGCGAAGAGAGCGCTTCGGATCCACAATTGGAACGTCAAGTGGAGACCATTCGCAATTTGGTCGACTCATACATGAAGATTGTCACAAAGACCACACGCGATATGGTACCAAAATCCATAATGATGTTAATCATTAACAATACAAAAGATTTCATTAATGGTGAGCTGTTGGCACACTTGTATGCCACGGGCGATCAGGTGAGTCAAAAGGCGTCATTTGCTTTGGTTTCTTGTTAACATTTGAATATTTTTTAACTTATGTGCCATCATTTCTAACCGCTATAGGCACAAATGATGGAGGAGTCGGCGGAATCAGCGACAAAACGTGAGGAGATGCTACGCATGTATCATGCCTGCAAGGAAGCGCTTAGAATTATTGGTAAGAGCGATGGCAAAATGCTTTTAATTATTGAAAATATATCTAAGAAACTGTTATATTTAATATTTTTACATATTTTTTATGTTAATTGTTTACTAATGTGCAATTGCTGCATTCAGGTGATGTATCCATGGCCACAGTGTCATCGCCGCTACCACCGCCTGTCAAAAATGACTGGTTGCCCAGCGGTCTGGATAATCCACGACTCTCGCCACCAAGTCCAGGTGGTCCTCGGAAGCCAGCACCAACATCACAGGTAAAATATGAAAACAGCTATGGTTGAATTTATTGAATTTATATGCCATTTCTAATATTTATTTATTCACACTGACACTTTTTTCCTGAATATATTTCTATATTATTCTTTTAAATTTGTTTTAAACACCTTCAAATTGTCCTTTCTTTCACTTTCAGGGCTCATTGGGCAGCGCCGGTGGTCGTGGCCCACCACCACCACCTGCTTCAGGGCGTCCAGCGCCAGCGATTCCAAATCGCCCAGGCGGCGGCGCACCACCATTGCCAGGCGGTCGTCCTGGCGGCGCTTTGCCACCACCACTATTACCTTCGTAAGTAATTTTTGAATTTTTTTGTGCTATAGTATATACGATATATGTTTACAACATATTTTATTCTGAAGGTGGTTATTTTCTTTTTTTTTTAATTGACTTATTTATAAAAAATTTTTTTTTTGGTTAGTACTTTTTTGGTTTTTTGGTATCGAAAAGTACATAAAGATTGGTTAATTTGAAAAAATTGGTGTGGAAATATTGGGCGCTATGAATGCATTTTTTAAATATTTCTTTTAATTTTTAAATTTACGACTAATTTGTGATATAAATTGTATACATACATTCTAAACTCCACCGGATTGAATTGATTTATCGACGGTTGCGACCTCTTTTTTGCGTTTTTCCTTTTTTTTTTAAAGAAATGCACGCCTATGCACTACTAAATAGTAAATTATATTAATAGTGAGTAGGACAAAAATTCTAAAGTTAATATTCAGGAATGACACCAGCACTGCTTAGATAGAGTGAGTGTGAGTACTTTTTAATTAATAAACAATCGACACAATAATTAAAACAAAGTAATTAACAAAATGTCGAACTGTTACTGTTATCTTCACTAAATGTTTTGTATTTAATTAAAAAAGAAAGAAAAATGTTCAAAAACTCATTTTCAAATGATTTAGTATCACCATAAAACAAGCTTTGGGGTTAAGAGAAGAATCTAGGCGTGTTGCTATTATTTTTAATTTTCTTTTTTATACCTATTTTTTATTTATTTTTATTTTTAATTTCATATAAAACTATTGTTTTTTTTTAAATTAAAATACCAATTATGATTAATTTTTATTGTTATTTTGTTGACGAGACTTATTAATTTAATAAAAGGCATTAACATAATGGGCAAAAACTAATATATCTTAAACGCGCGGTAGTTTTTAAAGACCCAGGAAATTGAAAATTTGATCCCTAACATGGTTTGGGCTCTAATGTGCACATTCCTTTTTACTAATTTTCTTCTTATGTATTTATGTGCATATTTTTCACGCATTTATTTCATTTCAAATATTTACCACATCAGTTTTTGTGTAGATACATAATCATTTTACAAATATATTTTTTGTCTTAACTCCCAAAATTGTCTAACAATACATGGAATAAATGAAAAGTTTTTTGTCTCTTCTCTTCCTCTCTCTTTTTCTGCCCGCAACACAAACGCCTGTTCGTGCCCACACAAATTTGTGTGTCGTTTACTAAAATCAAAAAAAAAATATGTATATAACTTTTTTATATGTTTTTTTTCACTTCTCATAAACATTTAATTCATACCATTTTCCATATTTGTGTTAAATTGTTTGATCATTTAAAAAAATCACTGCATATCCACAGTCGTCGCTAAATTTACTGCATACCATAACCGCACTTTAATTGATATGTGTTTACAAATATTACTATCCTCCTAACATTCACATTGCAAATTACTAAATTAATTACTAAAAAATTAAATAAGTAAAAGTAAATAGTATAAATATATATACATACGAGTATACCGGCATCTGAAGCATTGAGTAGAAAATATGGCAATGAATTAGAAAAATGTTCACCAAAAAAGGGAATTTGGTTCCGCCATAAACAAACGAAGAAGTTTAGTGCAATATGTTCACCCAAACATTTATAGTTTTGAAATTCTGCAGCAACAAATTTAATGCAAAATATATAGAAAGTAAACTGTACACCTATACAAATGCATAAATGAAAGTAATTAATTAAAGTAAGATTAGCGTGTTACTGCAAACGAAAAAAAAAATTAATTTAAATAAAGGAAAAATTTTATTTACCTTGAGTTGTTTTGTAAAATCGCATAAAACAGTTCAACGCTTATTGAAGTTTGCAAAAATAATATATATATAAATATAATATATAAAGTACATGGCAATGGAATATGACTCAAAAAAGCAAAAAATAAACTGTAACAATTATAATGGTAAAGTTAAAGATAGTAGTTAAAGAAAATACATATACATACATAAATTCACTAAATATTTAAATAATCATATAAAATGTTTTGCCATTATTTCTAGGCATATTGTTGTTATTGATTGTAATGAAGATATGCAATAAAAGTTAAATAAATTATAAAAACACGAATTTTGTTTTCAAGTGAAAATATTTGTTTCATAACTGTTCACTTAAATATGTTAAACAGGTTTTGTAAGTTTTCTAAGCTGGTCATACTTATCTTAGAAAACTTTTTTGCCAGAGGTTTTTTTATTAATTAATTTTTGTATTTTTTACTTTAATATCTATTTTCAATTCTTTTTTGGCTTATTGAAAATATTTCTAAAAGAAGAATTTCTATATTTTATCACGTTTGCCTTATGTAAGAATATCCCATTCAGCCTCAATGAGTATTGAAAAGGCTAATGTTTGTAACCAGTCGTCCGTTATTTTATTTTCGGTTTCCCATTTCAATGAAAATTTCTCTGAACTAGACTTTTGTGGATAGTGGAGCTTTGCTATTGAGAATAATAATTTAATTTTTGATTGAAAATGTTAAACAGAAAATATTGGTTTGAAATTTAAGATGAAAAAATGTAATTTTTTTTTGTATAAATTTTTTTATTAAATATTTTTTTTTTTTAGTATTAATTTAATTACAAATTTTTTCAGTTAGCATCACTTCATAAAAAACTTTATATTAGTAAAATATTGCAAAAAAACAATTCTTCGATTTTGAAATGTTCAATTTTTAAAAAAATGTTCATCATTTTAAATGCTTTATTAAGGCTACTATATTTAAATAGTAAATCTTTTCTTTATACGTATTGTATGAGAATTAAATGGTTGTGTTTTAATTATTGAATTATTTTATAAAAAAATCTCTTTAACACTTTTAATTTAACTTTTTAAATTTTCTGTTCAACATAATAATGTTTTTTTTTTTTTAACTGCCTTTAAAAATGCTTCAAGAAAAGCATTTGAGCATAAACGTGGAAAGGATATTTAAAACCCTGTTTGCTTTTGTTTTTTAAGTAAAAACTTATTTTTTTAAGTTTTTTTCTGTCTGTATAAACATCGTTTTTATTTTGAAAACGGACTGAAATCGAATTTTTTGTAGAATTAATAATTATGTGCTGAAAAATCATCACATTTTCGCCCATCTATGTATGTTTTCATATTTTTGTTTTGTGTTTCATGTATTATTGCATACATATTTATGTTGCTATTATTGTAACTAATTTATTCACAACTTTTCGCTACTGCTGTGTTTATATTTTAACTTATATAAATTAAAATATATTTTAAAATACTTTTCTTTATATTATTATTGCTATTTATTATTATTTTTTCTTTAACTTTTATAAATATTTTATTTTATTTATATTTTATTTTATTTTTATTTTTGGTTTTGATTAGTTGTTTTCACAAAAAATCTTTACTAGTTCTAAGTTTTCGTCAAAGAAGGGTTTCAAACGTTTCGATAAATACAATTCTCAATTAAAAACAAAATTAATCTGAACTAAATTATCCTCGTTTGTGTATTTACTGTTTGTATAACATTTGTAAAACAAATCAACAAAACACAAACAATTACATGTATAATCCAAATACCAGAAAACCACATTTTTCACCAACTGGCAACTGTTTTATCCTCCTTAAAGCCGTGTCACCGGAGCTGTCGGCGGTGCAATCACCCAACAGAGCGGAGCGAATCGTTACATACCAGCGAGTATGCAGGGACAGGTCAATCAAGTCGTGGGCCAGGCAGCGGTGAATGAGCTTTCGAACGTTTTTGCGACACGTTTCAAGTAAAAAAAAAATAAGCAAAATAAATAAAAATTATTTTTAAGCGAATTCTGCGTTTGCATTCAAACGAAAAAAAATGTAAAAAAGAAACTAAGCTTTGGTTACTAATACAACAACAGCAAAAAAATCATGAAATAACCGGAAAAAAAATCTTATAGAAAAATGTGAAGAAATTATTTATATACATACATACATACACATACACATGCTTACAAATATAGACACTCACACCACAATTATTGTCTGCGTTGCTGCGCATTCGTTGTGTTGTTGTTGTTGCTGCTGCTGTTTCTGTTTGATTCCATTTTATTTAATTTTTTTAGTTTTAGCTATCACATTTATGTATATGTATTTATTATGAATAAAATAATGTATGTTTTTTGAGTACTAAATTTTTGCATTGTTTATGTATGTACTAAATTTTTCGCAGACTTAAGCTTGAAATATTTTTATTTTTTCAAATTCATCATATTATGAAGCAAATTCGATAAAGCTCATTTATTTATTATTTTTTTTTTTAATCAGTCATCGCTCATTCATTGAAATTAATTAGGATTTTTTAATAATTATTCTTTTTTTGTTTCCAAGTTTAATCATTTTTAGTTTTGTATTATTGCAACTTGGATTTGACCTAAAATATTATTTTTTTTTTACTAATTTGCTTTATATTTTATTAATTTTTGATAAAACGAAAATTTCGAAAATTTCAAAACATATTAAAAATTAATTTAGAAATTTTGAAACCTAATATTTCAATTCAAAAATATATTTTCTTTGAGCTCGGTCTCAAAACATTTTAGTTCGATTTTACTTCAAATTTTTCTCATCTGGCAACCCTGTGAATTCCAATTTAATTAAACTATTTTTCTCGGGATATTTTTTGCCCTTCCACCAAAAGCATTTCCTATATACATACATACACACTTCGAAATATATACGTATTTACAAACACACATACAATGAATATACATACATAAATAATTACATATAAATAAATAAATTTAAACTTACAAACAATTATTTAGGGAATTAAAATATGCGTTAGGCACTATACCTATATACATACATATGTACTGGCTATAAAAGTGAAACACAGAAAACAAAACAAAAAAAAAGAATTAAGAAAACAAAGTTTTTGAATTAAAAATTCGTTGTTGCTAATTGTGTGTTAATGTAGTAAATAATGCAAATAAATAAATTAAAAAAAAAAACAAATTATTCACTGCTCTTTCAAAAAAAAAAAACTCAAACATACATACATATATATTTATGCAAAACAAATTAATTAAATTGAATTTGAAGGTTAAAGAAATGACGAGTGAAAAGGCGAGTCTCCTATATATAGATACACATAAGTACATTTTTAACTATATTTATGGAAACTCAAAAAATATTTTATTAGCATTTCGTTACGAGTTTTATGCTATTTCGCAAAGCGTTCTCATTTTGTGCGATTATTGAAAGCGGAAAAGTGGAAAGAAAATATTTCATTAAAAGGAAATCTTGTTTTGTATGTATGTACTGAATCAGATGTCTATGAAAAATGAAGTTATCTGTATACATAGTACATACTCGTACCAATCAGTTTAAATTTAATGCTTTTAGATTATAGTATGAGAAAAGTGAGGTTAGATGCTAAATTTGAATCATTCGCGTTACGCCAGTTTCGTTGCGTTATAATTGCCAGAGGCGGTTTTTTTATAATGGCATATAAAACTTTGCATTAATTTGCTTTGCTTGGCTGGTTGATCATTCAACGCAACATCAAATGCATTTTGACCCATCAAGCTTTGAGCCAGGTATTAGAGAGTCTTTGAAAAAACACTTTGGTAAGAGTTTCTAACTGAAAGCAGAGTTTGAAGTATTTTTAACTCAGCTTGTTGGCATGAAGAAATTTACAAAGTAATTTGTAAAATATATACAAACATACATATATTATTGAAAAATCTAATAATTATACATATTATAACTATCAAATTATTTCAAATTAATATAACCATACACAGATACAGATGCGTATTAAACCATGTTATCGATAACTTTTTTCTGAGTGTAGCAAAAACTAAGAAAAAAGAAAATTCACCCAAAAAACTTCTATTAAAGTATAAAAAACATGCATACTTATACTTATGTAAATATGTGTAGGTAATCAAAAAAATAAAAAAATTCACAAAGTTATTTACCCAAAAATTATCTCAAACACATTTTTATCATATGACAGCAAGTATTGAAATAAATCGAGCGGTGGGGGACGCAAGAGCGAATGAAAAGTTTTAGTTGAAAAAAAAAACTAAATAAATGATGAAATGCTATAAAAATGCCAGCAAATTGCCTTAGCTGTTTTTGGTGTTCTAAATTTTAAGCGTAGATGATCAGTAGCAAAGAACAGAGAGCGCGAGACAAGAAACCAAAAAGAAAAAAAAAACCAAACCAAAGGAAAGAACGACAAACTGCAGGGGGACTCAAACGAAGCAACTAAGCAAATAAATAAAGCAATTAAAATACTAAGTACGAAAATATGCAATTATGAATATTATAAAATAATTATAAATAAAAATTAAAACCGTAAAAAATTAATAACAATAAATAAATAAAAATTTATAAGTAAATGAAAAGTTATAAATAAAAAATTAAATTATAATATGAAAAATATGAAAATATCTGCATTAAAATTATTGTAACATTTTTTTGCGCAAAGCAACCACAAATTTTAGTAAAAATGAAGGCATACAAAAAATTATAGCGGTTTAAATTAACTGCGCCGTAAACATATCCTTTGCTTTTGAAAACGCCTATGAATTTGTTTGTTTTTGATAATTGTACTACTTTTAATCTTACCCGATTTACTTTGGCTAAAAGAATAAGAGAAACGATCGATGAATATTTGACGAAAAAAAAAACCGCTTGAAGGATAAAATGATTTTCCTTCAATTCAGATTTCTATTAAAAGTTATAGAGTGAAAGGCCTATTTGTTTGTGTGAATTGGATTTTTTTTTGTTATACAACTCCTTCCCTTTACCCACACCCCATTCACAATAACCGTCGAGCATTTATCTATTTCATATCGCTCTATATATAAATCAATGTTTATGTATTATTAATGTAATTTTTGTGTGTATTAAATTGTTGGGCTCTACACAAGCAGCCAACGTACTAATAAATAAAATATCTCAATTACAAACATATGCCACACATACAATGCAATTAGAAATTTTCAGCATGATTGAAACCGTTATATGAATATTACATATAAAAGCTTTGCAAAAGAAGCAACGGAGAATTAAGGCATACAAATGTTATGAATAAAAATATATATATACATATATAAATACAA